AAGCCTAAAATTACTTACCGAATAAATTTCCCAAACTTGCACTATCTCCGAACAGGTTTTAGCATTTTCCTTACTAATTTCTGTATAATTTCCTGCAATATGTGCTATGTAGTAAAAGCTCAGCACTCTCATAACATAACTTTTACATTATATCAAGGAAAATACTTGCCCTCATTTTTATAAATACACAAAAATGGATTTTTCATTTTTTAGAGTACAAAAAAATAATAATGTACAAAAATAACAGATAAACCTCTTGACTATCTTGAATGGAGAATGAGAATATTATTATTTTCATATCCTCAGCTATAGTAAAAACCGGATGTATTAAAATGAATTTACATTTTTTTCCCTCCCCGTGTATTCTATCCGGTGTAAAATGCTTCCAACTTTCATTCATTATAAAAAAACAAATTAACATTTCATGCTTTTGTTTAATTATACACAAAAGAACATTTTCAAAATGAAAGATACAATTTTTTTTGGTCTTGTATGCGTATTTGTTTATCTTATGATTCTTAAAATATGTATAAGCAAATATATACATAACGTTATACGACGACATTATGACATCCACATTTCATTTCACAATATGTCAATGGTTCATTTGAATATGATTATCATTGCTAAAACTTTTATGCCATTTTTTACTCATACCATCCTCATACATTTATATACTTTAACAAGATATTGTGCTCGCGAGAGCATAATGTTATATTATGAAAATAAAAAGACACAAAAATATGAATGTATGGATATATGAAAAATTTTCATAACGTGTGGTATTTTCTTTTAGTCTCAAGTAAGTTTGGGTCTAGTTTCTTGAAGACTCAGCGACGCACAATCAATTAAGCTGTTGAATCTTCTATTTTAAGATATAAATCTGAAACAAAAGTTCAACGACATTTCAAAATTCAAATTTTTAAACCCACCATTTTGTGAAAAAAATCCTCACTTCAAAAAGTTTTCCGCTAAATTCTAGTCAATAAATCCACTAAGGACCAGATAAACAAAAGTATTTTTGTCAAAAAAAGTGGCATAAGTAATTTCCAAGAGCTTTCAACAGCCTTAGATAACTTTTAAATTAAAAAACTTTCAATCGATGCAGTGATCCGTTCAAAATGAATACAAAAAACTGCATTCATGTGCTGAAACTGGCCTAAAAACTGAAGGAAAAGCATACGATAAAGTTTCTGTTTCTTTAGCTATCAAGAGTGAAATTTATATAAGGTATGAAGGAAGGAGCGTCAAATGAAAAGGACATTTTTCGTTGCTTGCTGTTACTTTTCAAAAAAAAAAAACAAATATTAGAACAAGAGAAGCTTAAATTAAATAAACGATGGAACATAAATCATTCGCTTGCTTTTATTTCCATTCCATTCCATTCTGTTGTGAAGGCCTCTCATGCAGGAAAGCAAAAAAACCATAATAAGAATGAGATCTAGGATAGAATGAAGGGGTGTGTGATAAATGTAAACTTCTTCTTTTGTGTCCGGATTGAAGTATACATTTTAAAACTTTTCTTTTGCAGCACTTTTCACCCGAGATACTTTCTTGTTCCCAAAACACTCAGAGTTGAAGAAAAAAACAACAGAACACAAATAAAACAACAAAACACCATAAAAAGTGAATGAAAAAGAGAATTTCACTCATTCTCAACTTTTTTTTTGAGATATTATGGATATAGATCTAAACATAAGCATGAACATATTGTCAGATATAACAAAACTTAATTATGTTAGGATCGTGCCATGAACCTTCACTTGTCTGCTAATGCCTAAATAAACCCTTTTCACAAATTTTTCATAGTTTTATAAAGTAAAGTTGAATCGAGTTGAGCTTTGCGTTGAGTGGTTGGAGCAAAATAAGAAAAAGGGTTAAAATATTGCTACAAAATGTTGTCAAATTACTATGGCCATAATGTAATGGAAATTTATGTTAATTGAGTAATGTGAATCGAAATTGAGGCTAGAAAACTTTTCTTCAACTGATTTTCTACGGATTGTAGCAATAAAGTCGTTATTTTATGTGGTAAAGTTTTTGATCTTATACTTACCATATGTTTGCTTCCTTTTAGTTTGTAGGAATTCAGGAATATCTTCAAAAACCGTTGAAAATTCTACAAAATAAAATTTATAGCCTCTGAAAACGTTTAAAATTTAACGACTTTTTTAAAAGTTCGCATCATAATTTGCTTCAATGATGCCAAAGTTACCGCATCTGTTTTCATTTATTATATTCACACCATTTTCACGTGTGAATCTATAGCACAATGATTCAGATTCGAAAAAAATGTTCAAAAATTCAAAATTATCGTATTAATTCAACTTTATCTTTCGAATGCCAGAATAAAGATCTTAACTTGAGGTATATCCTATGAAAATATCTCGTCCCAATTTTATGTCTAACTCCAGAAACCTTTAATTGTTTCTAACCAAAAATTTGTTTACAATTTGTATATGAAACTAGTGTATGGGGTAGAAACCCAATTCGGATATATTCACACCGTACCATCAAAAGTCTTATGGATAGACCAAGATTTGCTCAGCATAATTTGAAGGGTGGGCGTGAAGTACGGCCGAGACCCATATCGACACAGTTCAAAAGATATACCTAATTTATGTCATAATCATGTCAGCTACAAAAACACTTAGTTTGAATTTTGTCACCCTCGGAACAATATGAACCAGTATAGCTGATTTTGGTCCAAATCTCGGCCATACTTCACACTTATTTGAACCACATTTTCTCGTAAATGTTAAAATATTATTAAAAAGTAATTAATCCTGAATTATGTCGCTATTTTGTCAAGTATTTTAAGATAAAGAATTTGTTGTTTGGTTTCCACAGTGAAGAGTATGAACAAAATTCAGATGGGGTAGTCGAAATTTTAGATTTCGTTTTTTTTAAGCTATGCATTCCAAAAAGTAATATTGGTATGTGATTTATGTCAGAATTATGTCAATTCAAATAAAACATAAAAGAAATTTTTTTGACCAAAGAACCAAGTAGGAAATACAATTTCAATTTTGGACTAGGGGCGACCCTAGTCAAAATCAATTTTGTCACTTTTTTCTTCGAGGGTTTATCCAAATGGATTAAAACTTTGCGTAAATATTTTAGTGCTTAAAACAAATACAAATAAAATATTCTAAAATTTTTTTGAGCAAAGAACCAAGAAGGAAATACATTTTCAATTTTGGACTAGGGGCGACCCTAGTCATAATCAATTTTGTCACTTTTTTCTTCAAGGATAAATCCAAATACAGTAAAACTTTGTATGAGCATTCTAATCTTTAGGTCACACATTTCTGAATTAATAAAAATCATTTTTTGGACAAAATTTTAAGTCACGTTGTTTTTGAATGTACAACCAAATTTATAAAATTTGGGTCTGACGACATATAGAATACATTTCTTGCTTTAGATATTTAAAACTGTTTTGTATAAATATTAGTATACTCACACAAAGTTTCACTGTAATTGGATAAACCTTCGAAGAAAAAAAGTGAAAAACTAGATTTTGACTAGACCTGTCCCAAGTTCATAATTGAAAATGTAATTCCTACTTGGTTCTTTGCTCAAAAAAATTTTGTTCATCCAAAGTTTAATTTAAAATAAAAAAAATCACAGTGAACTTTTAATTTGAAAAATTCGTAAGAAAGGAAAGTTTTTTGCTTTTTCTGAAGCAACGGCTGTTCCTACCTTACCCAAAAACAATACAGCTCTTCTATAGAGCAGCACGGATCAAATGTAAAAAACTAGAAGTCTCTACAATGTCTCGTTATTGAGATTTCTTGCTGATTAACTTGCTTGCTTGTTTGCTTACAGAAAGCGTAGTTTGCGATTTTCTCAGCAATGCCACAACCAATTTGAAATCTGTTTTTTGCAAATGATGTAAAATTTCAGGCAAAAACTTTTCTTCTGTGACCTTTTATAGCCAATTTTGCTTTGTTTTCTCACAAAATGCGAAAAACTGATTTTTCAATCTGAACAAAACCAATAGATTAACACGTGAAAACGGTGTGAATATAAAAACTTTCAATTTTCTAATGTGTCAAAAAAATATTGTGCACAAGGAATTTTTAAACACTTTTTTCAAATCTGAATCATTGTGTATTGGTTTTGTTCAGATTGAAAGGTTCAGGTTATAAAAGGTCCAACAAGAAAAGTTTGTGCCTGAAATTTTACATCATTTGCAAAAAACAGATTTCAAATTGGTTGTGGCATTGCTGAGAAAATCGCAAAATACGCTTTCTGTAATCAAACAAGGTTGGTTTTTTACATTTGATCCGTGCTGCTCTATAGAAGAGCTGTATTGTTTTTGGGTAAGGTAGGAACAGCCGTAGCTTCAGAAAAAGCAAAAAACTTTCCTTTCTTACGAATTTTTTAAAACAAAAGTTGACTGTGATTTTTATAAAATTCAACTTTGGATGAAAATTTTTTTTAAAAAAAAACGTTTAAGAAATGTTCGTTAAGCTTTAAACCTTCAAACTTATGCTGAGCGAAGTTGACTTATCAAGCTTCATACCCTCATACTTATGCTAGGCAAATCTTGGACTATCCATAAGACTTTGATGGTACGGTGTGTATATAATCCGCATTGGGTTTCTACCCGATATATCGGGGAGTGTATCGCGATACACTAGTTTAAGTTTAATTTTTTTAAATGTTGATCAAAATTACTGAAAAAAAGAATACGTAAGTATACTTACTTTTATTTACTCGGATACTCTAAATTCCTAAAAGTTTAAATACCAAATAGTATAAATTTCTATAAATTTTCAAACCTTTTGCAACCAAACAGTACAAATTAGATTTTGAGCAGTCAGCAGTACAAAATTAAATCCACCAAAACTCCTTGTGTCAATCGCATACATTAAAGTTGTCATAATCATTCAACAGCAGACAGTTTAATAGAAAACTACAACAATAGTGGGAGCAAGAAAAGGGCTGAAATGTGTGGTAAAATAAGGAATGAGTACAATCCAAAACACATTTTCATTTGATAAACATGATCTGATTATTGTTTCAATATGCCACAGTAAAACTTTTACATAATTAAATGTTACAGAATAACGTACACAGAAAGAAGCCTGTTTCATGTTGGTTTTCTTGTTTTTTACAGTAAAAAAAAGGAGAGAAAAAAAAAGTTTTTTAATTTATTCAAAAAATGAAGACATTTTCATTGTTTTAAACTCGTATTATTATTATTATTATTATTATATTTATGTATGTATAATTTTTGTATATATGTTACATTATATTTTCACTTCTTTTTGTTCTTCATTTGCTTCCTCGTTTATTTTTGATATCGACTTTTTCACAAAACGGAAATAAAAAAAAAGTCCTAATTAAGAACTTTGTCTAGATTAAGCATGAAATTTGTTCGTAGATACTTAAGACTTACAAGATGATGAACATTAACAAAATAAGGAAAAAAAAAGTCGCATGAAAATATTTAAAAAAAAAATTATATAAAGTAAAATTTTGGAAGGGGTAATGGGTGTTCTGGGGGGATTAGAGACAGTCAGCTTAGATAATATACGAGAATTTCTTTGAAGGTATAAAAGCATTAAAAAAATACAATCAGAGATTAAATCATACACAAAGTGAGCATTACTCTACACATATTACATTTGCTCCCTCATTTTTAATGCTTATTATGTGCGTGGATTCTTTATGATAATTTCCATCCAAAATTACCGTGTGATGCTGTTGGTGATAATGTCGTAGGCTGTGAATAAGATGGAGCAGAATTTGCACTTCCATAACGTGTTACTGGAAAGCCATTAAAGTTATTTGACGATCCAGATCCAGTTCCAGAACTTGGATTCTCGCTAAATAGACCACCTCGATTTTTATTTTCAATTAATGGGCGTGTATCGAAAAATCCACCACCAGTGCCTGATCCACCTTTTAATGCATCTGAAAGCAATTTGCCAACGTCACCAGACAGGAAACTTGATAGACCGGAAAAGAAACCAGATCCAGAACTTGATGGACGTTTTGTAGTTGACGTTCGTGATGAACCACCAAAAATATCATCATCACCATAACGATTGCCAAAATAACTTCCACCTCCTCCATACGATGGATTGCTTGGGTTATAAAAGGGTGATTTTGTTGTCCATGAACGTCGTGTAGTAGTTGTTGTAGGACGGGTAGTCCACCTTGTTGTTGTAGTGGTCGGACGGGTAGTCATTCGCTCAGTAGTTGTGGTACGCTCAGTAGTGGTAATTTTTATATTCCAAATATTATCATTTGGATTTGATGGTGGTGAAGGATTTGATGGACCTTATTTAAGTATTTATGTATACAAATCGGTAAAAAGCAGTTCATAATGGGTATTAAAAAAGTTTTAAGCATGTTGTGAATTATTTGTTTAATGAGGAGAACATATTCAGGAAGGATTATTTTGGCGGGAAAAAAAGAAAAAAAATTCAAGAGTTAATTAAAGAAAATAACTACCACAAAGATAAAATATAAAAATACAAATAAATAAATAAGATCCAAACAATGGAGGCATATTAATATCCGTTAATTTGAAACCCAAATATTGTTCATTATTATTTTCTACATGCTTTTGGATTAGTAAAATTTCATCTCCTTTCTAACAATCTATGTATTCTTTTTAGTATTATTTCAATCAACATTCACTTCCTCATCCTTAAAATGATGAGACAATAGAGAATTTCACACTTACAAAATTCAATATCTCATGTTAATTTTCTGTGCTTCCCGAGCGACGTTTCCGCTTTTTCATGACAGTTGCTTCTCATTCATTTTAAGTTTCAACTATTTATCTCATAAAATGAGTCTTTAATATTATTGCTACTCATAAAGCTTTAATATATACAAATTAAATAAAATTTCTTGATTTAATTGATAATTTTTATGAACAACTGTTGCGCAACTGTCACACAACAATTTAATTAGATATTATAACTTGTCATACAACAGTTGCACCACATTTTTACTCAGTGTACATTTGTTGCTTCCACAATGTGAGATTCATTTATGTCTTGCAACTGTCACACAACTGTGGTGCAACAAAATTAAGTTTTAAAAGTGAAATATTTTAATTAAAATTCTGTCTTATTAAATGTCACTGATGTCTCACGGAGTGTCGCTCGGGTTGATATTTATTATACAATTTTTATGAACAAGACGAGAAAAATAAAAACACATAAAGAATAAAATGAATAAATAAAAGTCAATAGAATAACAACGGTCTTAAAAGATTTCCATGTCATTTTGCTGCTACTGCTTTTTTCTCGTCTTATTCTGTGTGTATTCTCTTAAGTTTTCTTTCATTTTGTTTAGTTAAACCTAAGCACCAATTTAGATTATTTACATTTCATTTTTTTTTCCTTAATATCGATCGACATTGCATATCTCATTTTCTTGTCAGCATTCAATCATACTCTTTTTTGCTTCATCTTACTCTTATCAACTAATTTAATTATCGCTTCTTCTTCTTACTGCTTTCGTGATTCTCTTATTAGCGCATTTTTGCTAAGTTATAAGCGTGTATTATTTTCTGAATGAATGAATAGATGAGTTTTTTTGGTGTATCGAATTTTATTTATGCTTTGGATTAAGTTTGGCTTTAGCCTTAAAGTTTACTTCTAGTTTATAAAATCGTATAAATTTTGACTAATTTTTACAAAGTTCTTGTTTGATTTTAACAGATTTTTTGAAGTTTATTGAAACCTTACAAATGTTTAGACGATTTTGAAGCTGTCGAAAGGTTTTTTTCAAGTTTTAGAAGGTTTTCAAATATCTTGAAACTGTTTGAACCATTCAACAGTTAAAACATTTATATTGTTTCAAGTTCTTAAAACAACTTAACGTTCAGTCAGATTATTGACCATCAATACAGCAAAAATGCGCCATTTTCATCCACTTGGGATACTTTATTACTTGTTATTCAATATATCTCACAAATTTATGAACATCCTTATAACTCTCTTTTCAAAAAGAGATTTTTCTTCCTATATTTTATATTTTTATTTTCTGTTTTATTTTGGAATCCACATGAAACCGAGCGTGGATTTTCATTTTTTATGTGTTTGATTGTGATTGTGAATTATGGATTGGAAGCAAAACTGTTGTTTGTATATACTTGTGCTCTCATTTTCTGCCATAATAAGGGTCTTAGTGGAAATAGTAGTTGGAGACTTAGAGTTTTGTTTGGCTAACACAATAACTAGAAAGAGGATTATTTGGTTGAGGGTGGTGGAAATAATATAAAGGAAAATAAATTGCTATCGCACTGAGGACGGAAACGTGCAATCATTTTTTTCATCACAATGTAATAAAAAATATAAATGATTAATTTAACTTATGGATAAAACACGAGTGATTAATTAAATTATCCACAGGCGAGTAAATCTTACAGAAAAAAATGCCATTTAGTAGGTTGAGGCATTGAATGTGCGTTTACATTAAAGAGATATCTGGAAATATCCAGCAATCGACAAGAAAATGCCCATCGTAAAAATAAAATTCGCTTTTGCAGTTTTTCGTATAAAATTTTTGCGATAAATCATCAGCACGATTTTTTTTCTCTCTTCCGTATGTATACATATATTTATCTACTTCATATCTCAGGCTCATCGAATAAGAGAAACGAGATTGCTGTTAATGAATTCTATTTTTCCTCTCCATAACAACCAAGAAAAATTCTTTTTCTGCCACATAAACTAAAATGCGGTCTAAAAAAAAGCTCGTAAAATTTTCTCCCTCCCGAAAAACTTTTTTTCCTTCCATTTCTTGTTTTTGTCATTGACCGGAACTTAGAGTTTCCGAAACATTCCATGCTCTTACTCACATACATGACAAGCTGAGGAAAAATTTTCACTTTTTTTTTACATTCAATTTTGCCTCTTCTGTAGAAAAACGATTAGACGATTTTTGTTATGCTTAATGCGTTTAACGAGATATTTTCCTCGTGATGAGAGCAACGTACAGCACAACTGTAACGATTCTTTTTTTTCTCTCTTCGAGTTAATTGAAAAATCAATCAAAAAACAATTTTCCTTCCAGTTCAAGAATAGTTTTAACTTTTTTTCTCTTTTTTGTTTTTATCATGTGATTAGTTTTCAATGTCTGAATAGAATTTTTAATCGATAAATTTTATGCTTTTCACATTTTTTTTCTGTTATCGTAGATATAAAATAATTAGATTTTTTTGCTTCCGTTTTTATGCTAGAAAAGTTATGCATTTGAGATTTTCAACATAAATAAAAACAGGTAAAACTCAAGGGTGCGACATTTTAAGCATGTGTGGAATGAAAAATCGCGACAAAAGGCTTTGAAAATGGGGAATCAGATGAGATTTTATCGATTTTGATTGCTTTTACGGATTTACAACTATTTTTCTGGAATTCTTTAGGATTTGGTTTGAATTTTTAATGCTTATTGAATTGAATAACTCTTTAATCAACCAGATCTTTATTGCTGTTAATCAATTTAGAAGGATAGAATGAAATTACTGTAAATTATTGAAACTTTTCCTTTAAAGAAACTTTTTAATCAAAGTAATCAATTTGTAAAGAATTTTCCGATCGAGTTAATATTGTAAAATTCTTTCAAAGTGTTTGACAGTCAGTTGAGTGAGTGCTTTTCATTTAATACATTAAATATTGATGGTTTTGTTTAAACTTAATTTAAAAGCAGGTTGCAATGCAGTACTGTAATAATAATATATAATCCTTGATTTAAGGCGGAACAAAAATGACAATAATTTTGATATTAACCTGTCGGTATAAAATAAAAAGTTGAAGTGAAAAATAATTGGTAAAATGACATGAAGTTAAGTTGTGACAATTTTGAGAAGTGAACATGTGCAAAGGTGAGAACCGTACGATTTTTTGATCATTTAAGAGGTTTTATTAGAATTTGCATAGTTTTATTTGAAAACCTTATAAATTATTAAGCAATTGTACGTATCTCATCTATGTTCAGGTGCCTGTATCGCAACCATATTTAAAAGTGATTAACAGTGATTCAGAAATTTGAATCTTATAAAACCGTTGTTAAGTGAAAAATCAATTCAATTTAAAAAGTGATTAAGCATACAAATTAAATCTCATTCCGACTTGTAAATCCGCAAAATAGGTAAGTTAAATTGCCATAAATATTTTAACGACATCAATTTTGATACTTTTGGTAAGTTGGATATTTTATGATCCCAACACCAGATAAAATGCTCATATCTGTCAAAACCATTCAAAATTGCCCATAAAAAACATCTGTACGACATTATTTGGGCAACATTAGTCACATGGATGAAAAAAAATTCATAAATGACCACCTTTATTAAGCTACATGACAGTCATGAGGCTAATATTTAAGTTGCTCAACCATGCCACGGTTTATTAAGTTATTTTATTATCAAAACATCAGACCCTTACAAATAAATTGTTATTATTTTTTTTAAACCTTTTTCTCTTTATTCCATCATTATGTACAATATTATATATTCATACTCATTTAATACAATCATAATCGAATTCAGATATCAGATATCAAAGGAAAAGATAAAAAAAAATTATGGCTCTCATAACGTTTTATTACAATTTTCTATTCTTTCTTTAAAAATGGGTAGAAATGATTTTTCAAGTCTTTGACTTTAAATGCGATGATGATTATCATCCAACCCTTACATCTCTACTATTGTGGAGCTATTCATTAATGACGTCTTCAATTTAAAAGGGATGTATATTAATTTTTTGGGAAAAATATAAAAGATGAGGTCTAAAACTTTAAAATGAAAAAAAGACATCATTTACGAACAACCCCTTTCTGAATTTAAATTTTTTTTTTCTCTTTTTATTCATTTCGATTCACTAAAATGTATCAAAAATAATATTATTATTTTTCGTTTCATAAACGAAAAAAAAAAGGGAAAATTCAAACTCAATTTAGCATTTGAAATTATTGCTAATGCTATAAATTAACAAAAATAATGAGCCGAGAAGCGTTAGATTGAGATTTGCATTGTTGATTGTTGATGAGTTTCGCTGTTGTTTGCTGTTGAAGAATTTATCAATAAATTTGGGATTAGCAGTTGTTCGGGGAAAGCGAAAATCAAATCCAATATTAGGTGGTGGTGTTAAGTCAGGATGATAAGGAGGATTATTATAAACCAGTCCACCATTTGGATTTGGCATGGCCGGGAAAGGTTGACGATTGTCAGGAAGTCGTGGGATATCTAAAGGAATTTGGGGTGCAGGCATTTGTGGATAAATGTTTGGATTGCTTGGCCAGCCGAAGACATTATTAGGATTTATTGGATCACGTGCTGCCACATAGTCTGGTTTTGAATTACGTGTGTTATCAGGTGATGGATTCAATAATATCGGACCTGTAAGAGTTGTGTCAATTTTATGGTTTTTTTTTGTGTGAGTTCGTTTGAAAAGAGAAAGAAGAAAGAAAATAGAAAAAAAATCATGCATTAGTTATAAACTTTGCAATGCAATGGCAATCATTAGAGAATATTTTATGCATATTATTTATGATGATTTCTGTTTGTGCAATTCAATATTCAACAGATCTCCTTTAACCTCCCTTTAGAATAATGTTATCTAATAATTCATCTATTCTATTTCTACTTTCTGTCTATATATATCCTCATATGTGTGCATATTTTATTATTATTATTATGTTTTAGTTGTGTTCAAGATCGTCCAGAAAGTTTGATTCAGAAATAGTTTTGAACGAGATTCTTTAAGCAACGACGAGAACTTTGTCAGATTATGTCGTGTTGATGATTTACTTTTTTCGATTAAAAATGATTTTATGCTCATTAAAATTGGTAAAGATTGTTTTGTAGCTTTTTGGTATAAATTTCTTATGTATTTTGGTTCTCAATTTTAAACAGAAAAACGACAAATAATAAACAAAACAATAGTTTTGAAAAATTTACTGATTTTAAGCAATTAAACTACTTTAAATGCATATTGTGCTTAAATTATATATTCTGTAGTTGTGCAAAAGCCACAGTTCACTTCAAACATGTCAAAATAAGCAAAAAAAATCCAACTCAAATTTAAATCAATTTATTTAAGAAAAAAATTGGCTTAGCTGTAGAAATTACAGTATATTAATTAAAAAATAATAATTTTTATGGCCAATTAAGTGAGGAAGACTAAAACCTCAAAATATAAAAAGTCATTTATGACAACATTCTGAATTCAAACTTTTGTTTTTTAAAAAAAAACATAAACTCAAACTCAACTTAAAACTTGAAATTATTTCTAATGCTATAAACTAATAAAAGTAATGAGCCGAGTAAGGTTAGATTGAGATTTGCATTCTTGATTGTTGATGAGTTTCGCTGTTGTTTGGTGTTGAAAAAATGATCAAGAATATTTGGATTCGCAGTTGTTCGGGGAAAGTTATAATTGAATCCAGTAATAGGCGGTGGTGTTTCAAAGTCGGGCTTCGAAGTATGTGTGTTATCAGGTAATGGATTCAATGACATTGTATCTGTAACAGTTGTGTCAATTTTTTTTTTGATTTATTTTTTGATTTTTGCGTTCGTTCGAAAGAAGAAAAAAAATAAAGAAAATAAAAATTAAAAAAAAATTCATGCAATAATTATAAATTAAGTGATGCAGTGACAATCTTAAGATTTGGTGACCATCTGCTTAGTTTTTTTGCATTCAATTTGTCTTCTATTTTCATTAATTGTCCTTTATTTCCAAAAAAATATCTTTGTAGGAATTGTGGTAGAATTTTATAGTTTTTTTACATAATTTTTGAAAACATTTGGTCACCCTATCATTAGAGAATGTTCATGCAATTCAATATTCAACAGATCTCCTCTAACCTCCCCTTATAATAATGTTATCTAATATTTCATCTATTCTATTTCTATTTTCTGTCTTTATATATTATTCTCATATGTATGTGCATATTTTATTATGTTTTAGTCGTGCTCAAGATCGTCTAGATGAAAAGTTTTTATAGTGCAGACATGCTTTAGTTTTTTGTTATTTACAATTATTTCAGGTAAAGAAAGTTAAGAGAACGACAGACTTTAATATTTAGTTTCATGAATTACAAATTGTAACGATCATTTACGATTCGAAGTTTCGCATCTTTTTTGAGTTTGAGAAATACCAAGCAATTGGAACAAAAAAGTTCTTTCCCTTCCTATCGTGAGCGAGTTAACACGTCTTGTTACAAATTTTTCAAAAACCCTTATGGTTTAAATAGATAAAACCTGATACGAACCAGACTACCGCCATTCCATTTTCGAAAACTTCGAAATTAATTTCGAAGTTTTCGAAATAGTTCAAATATTTTTATTCCGTTATGCATAATGTAAACAAATAAATTCCTTGAGACATTTTAAGCAATAAAATCACTTAAAAAAGTAATTAATAAATAAAAAATGAGCAAGTGCGCAGTCTTTAATTGTGAAAATAAACGTAAGGATGGAAAAGCATCATTTCGAATGCCTTTAAAACCATCTCCAATATTTCTTTAATTTTGCTACAAAATTGAATTTATTTATAGACAATGTGATTCAGTTGATAGAAACCACTCCGCATCCCAAATTAAATCATCCTTTAAAGCAGCAGTGAAAGAAATTCCAACTAGTTTTAATCACTGCATTTTGATATTTGAAGACTTTTTAAACGATTTTTTAAATTTTAGATTGAAATTGTCTCATCAGAAACGTTTTTTAAATCGAAAGGAGTTCAAATCAAAGTTTAAATAAATAATCTGATTTGGTTTTCCATGATTTTAACTGTAATTTTGTTTTTGAATTCAAACGGTGATTTTTTTTTGAATCATACCAACTTTTTTTTGTCCATTTTTCAAAAAATAACGGTATTTTTCGGAATGGCGGTAGTCTGATACGAACAATTCAAGAGATTCGACCTTTACAGTATCCAAAAAAAACTTGTAAAAATGTTTTATTTGTCTGTCTGCCATAAAAAATTTGAAAAAAACTCTAATAAAATCACAAAAATTGTAACGGTTTCTTTCAAATTTAAACTTTTCGAACGTGCATATTATAACTCCCCTAGACTTTCGATAAGTCTGTCGAACATGAATTGTTCGTATCAGGATAAAACCTAATAAAGTGAAATAAGTGTTAAAAAGAAAATTATCACTATTATTACTCTATCACAGAAAGTGGAGATTTTAAAGCAACGATGCGAACTTTGTTAGATTATTTGATGCAAAATAGCTATTGTCGTGTTGATGATTCTCTTTACTAGATCTTTTTACTATTAGATTAGATCACTTTAATCTTATTTTCATAAACCTGATCTTTTCATTAAGAAAAATGACAAATTTTCACATATTCTACAAAAACGTAATAAATGATAGTTCTTTTGCTAATTGTTGATGATCTTAAGCAACTAAACCACTAATAATACGCATATTGTGCTTAAGTAAATACATATTTAGGGAGCAAAAGCCACAGTATGCTTTAATCAGATCAAAATAAGCAAAAAATTGTAATTTTCTAGATCAATGTTTGTATAATTTATTTTATAACGGAAAGTATCGATGTATTGCTCTCAAAACCCACAATCTTATGATAAATGTACTTGATTCCACCCACTGCTCACCACTCAATACGATTTAAATCAAAACATCTCTCAAATTCATTTGAATTCAACAAGAAAATCGAAATTTAAATCTTGATTCACATCCACCATGTTTATTCAGAATAAATTTAATATTTATTTATGGATTTTAAAATAAATTAAATGTAAATAAATTTATCCAGACAACCTGAATGTATCTTAGTCTTCTGAAATATGAGACCAACAATATCCGTAGGAAAAAAATGTACACAATACAACATGTATGGGATGAGAATTTGGAACAGGATGAATGAATGCCTCATGAATTTTTAATATTTTTTGTATTCTTCAGGTTATAGATAATGAACTGCAATAATGGAACTGCCATGAAACAATAATTTGTATTAATCTTATATGTCTTCAATTTAATATTGATTAATTTCCCTCAAACCCTGAACATTTTCTAATAATATAACATCCTTTATTTCTCGTCTGCTTTGTTTTACGTTCTATAGAATTCATTTCCGAAAATTTATTATTAATTAAATTATATATTCAGACATCCTTTACATCCGAAATAATAATAATAATAGTAAAAATAATGACAATAATGATAATAAAAATTGTAAATTCGAAAACTCATTTCACTAGGACCATAAAACTTTATCATTTCTTCTTTCCCTTAATTAATTCATTTTTAATTTGGCTGTTGCTGTATTATGGCAGAAATAAAATATAAAATGAATCTGAAAAAATTTCTCATTTATTCGAGAGCAAGATGAACAAAAAAATGAGAAAATTAAACGAAATATAATAAAATAAAAAATAATAATATAATTAATTCCATGACTGAATAAGCTAGTAAGATAATTGGGAAGGGTGTGAATGTGTATCGAAGGATTTTTATGGACAATTTAAAACAAAAAGAAGAGAATATTCTAAATGATTAGGGTTACCATCTAATTTTCATGAAAATACAGGACTTTTGGTAAATTTTTTCGAAAAATACAGGACATAGAGTAAAATTCGAAAATTAACGGAAATTTTCGTGAAAAAAATACAGGACCTGGAACAAAGTTTTCAAATTTATACAGGACAGGGTTTTGAAATACAGGACTGTCCGTTGTAAAACTACGCAGATGGTCACCCTATAAATGATCGAATTGCAATTATAAATACACATATTGAGATTTGAACTCATTACTAAATGCGATTTTTAATCGATTTAAATCTAAATAATTATTAACTTTTTGATTATTTGGATTAAAGAACAATTTAACAATCATCGTAACCTACCAAGGGCGTTGCTAGGAATTTAAAGGGATAGGATCAAAATTTTATGTATGAAAGTTTTTGAAGCAGTTCGGATTTTTATGAAAAATCTTGCAAAATCATATTATACAAATAAGGATCACATCTTTCCAGGCGCGTAGCCAGGGTTGGGATTTGGGGAACAAATCCTTGTTCGTCACAAGAAACTACGTCATTTTGCTAGAGTTTTTTTATGAAAACTTCGGAAAATACCCCCCCCCCCCCCCCCCCTAATTTTTCGGGACAAAAAATTTTTTTGTTTTCCCTCCTCAAATTCATGGCTTCGCCTCTGCATCCTTTCATTGACTAACCCCAATCATAAATTATCCCAAAATTAAACTTAAAAGAGATCTTTAATGTTATAATCATTAATAATATTTCTGTAATTTTTCAATTTTATTTGTTAAGATTTATTCGAGTGTAAGACTTACTAGGAACTATCATTGATTAAATTTTCGTACAACAATGTGAAAATTGCACCATAAAAAACTTTTTGTCATTTAAACAAAATTGAAAAGATTTTTTTTTTCCTATTTTTTGCTGTTGCTTATTCTGATATTTCAAAGTAGATTGTAGATTTCGTGCAGAGATGTAAGGAAGAAAAATTGTCAACACTTTTATTTTGTATGTAAATTGCATTTTTTTCTCAGAAGAAAAAGAAATTAAAGATGTGCGATAGAGATGCGATGGAAGTAGAGAAAGATTAAGTATATCACTATAGAAAATAATGAAAGAAAAGAAATTTACGAGTCAACTCATGTTCATTATTCATGAGGAACAACATTCACAAAATTAAATATTTAAATACGCTTTTTTTGTGTGCTGCTGCTAGTTATATTACTGCATGAATTTTTTCCCGTAGACTTTTTGCTGCCGTGGGGATCTCTATTGTGTCGCATGGCATATAGAGTAAGTATATTAAATGAAAATTGCTGATGAAAGTGGAGCTGTGAGCTGTGATGTTTGTATGAAAGTAGCAAGAGAAGGAAAACTGGGATGCATATTGCCTTGAGCTTAGCTTTTAGAGCTTTTAATGAGTTCATTCTTTGGAGAGTGGAATTGGTCGAGTTTTTCGTATAGTCCAGAATTCTTAATGAAAAGTGTCTGGATGGAGCTGAATCAGCCATTTATAAACTTTCTGAAAAAATCTCTAAGGCATTTCCTCAGAACAAACTTTGAGGTACCAAATTATGCACTAGCCTGCATTCAGGTTAATCGTATTAAGTTTAGAGAGCCTTCTCAAGAGCATCCAGAGGGTAATGATATCCGAAAATATAACTCCTTTAAGCAGCTAGTCACTAGTTTTTAAACATTTTACAAAAAATCTCTTACTTCATTCTAAAATCTACTTCTTCTGTGGTTCACATCAACTTCATAGACATAGATTTAATTAGATTTTCAAACCAATTTCACCACATAAAACACAGCCTCGCTCCAATTTTGGGCGGGAATACAAAATTTCTTTCTTTAAACGTTCTTTTGTTTGCATTTTAGTTAAATAATCAACCTCAAATTGAAGTATTCATGTTCAAATTTCAATCTTGAACAAACTTTGACATTCTCGTACACAACTTAATATACTGAAACTTTCTACAATCTACGACAAAACTCAGAGAGTAAAATGTTATGAAAATACCAAGTAAACAAATTCGTGCTTTCAAATATTTACGAAATAAACTTTTCCTTCAATTTAATTAAAGTTAGACAACGAGTTTAAAGAAGATTTTAGCTGATGATAAGTCTATTAGTCTGTAGGAATCTTAAGGAAACTGAATATTGAAACAAATTTTGAAAAAAAAGTGCATATCATACAGCTTATCAAGCATAAATGTTTTCCTTTTCATATCGTCAAAATGCACTAAAAAAACTTTTCCATCTAGCATGAAATTACATAACGAGCACAAGTCATAGAAGATAATCTTGATAATCCCACCGAGATCATGGTACGATATTGCATATAAAAACTTGACATAGCGACTGAGAGCAGAGAATGTAAATATTAGAAAGATTTACGAAAATGATCAACAGAAGCATCAGCAGCAACATTTGATGCATGCATCTAGACATGCTCCAGAAAGTTTTATCTTTCATACATTATATGCGAAATGTTTTTAGTTGCAATTTTTGCAGAAATCAAATATTTAAGATTCATTATTTAACTCTTCTGTATGTGTCTTTTGTGTTTAGCTTTTGCCATTTTGGGAATTTTACTCGAAACATCTAAATGCAATTTTCATTATTCACAGACATACATAGCTCGTTTTTTTTGTTTTTTTTTGTGGAATAAAGGAATTGTTTTAATTTTCTGCTGATGTAAGTTAATCCAATCAGTTGAATAGAAATTACAGCAGTTACAGCAAAACTATCTAGTTCAGGGATTCTTAAGCTTGTGTCCTAAAATTATTCTATCGATTAAATTGAATCAGGACTTAATTGTCTAATTGTAAACCTAATTATCCCATTCTAGAAAGGATTAATTCGAAGGAATCTTACTGAATACTAGTGTATCATGTCACTCAGTTTGAGAACCACTGATCTTCTATTATGTAAAATGTAAGGCAAGATGAGAGAAAGAGAAATTGTGGGTGAGAGTCGAGAAAATTCATTTATTTGTGGTAGCTCGTGCTAATGGATTAAATTTTCCATGAAAATGTTCTTTTCTTCATTTACATTTTATGAGTATGAATATGGATATATACCTAGATGAGTATGTGTGTGGATTAGTAGAAGGGAAAAACCTTCTTTCAATATTGATTAACTAATTAATTTTCCAAAAGCCTCCCTCCATTCACGAGCAATTTCCTACGCCTTAATTTCCATACGATATACCATCTATATACAGATGAATCATTTAACCGTACCCCATTAGTATTTGACAGGCAATTCACCCTTACATAATTTACCCTAACAGACAAAGAGCATGCTCTCAATGAGTATGCTTACTAAAATATAGTAGCTGAGTATGCTCACGAGTTAACTCAGTCAGTACATTTAAGTGAGCATACTCAGTGAGAGCATGCTCTTTGTCTGTTCGGGTTAATAAATTAAAGTTCATGAGAATTAATAAAACCGTCTTTAATCATTCACAATCCTTTTTCCTACACATATATTTACCTGTATTTGTATTTTGTTGTGGCGTTTGCATATCTGTTCTCTTCTGGCACGTCGGATAGCGACCACAATTTGTTCCTTCTTGTTGATTAAATGAGCAGGTATCATATGACATCACACAAGTTTCACGTGGCAAACATCCAATATCTTTGCACGTTCTACCATATTCTATAAATATGTAGAGAAAGAACACAGATTTAAGAATAATCCTTGGATAGAGCATGAGCTTTGTTTTGAAGTCGATGAGAGAGACAGAGAGAAAGAGAGAGCGTGTGTGTGTGTGTGGGGGGAATCATAAGTAATCTGAGCAGGGGTAAAAAAGTTCATCATGACAAACTGAACGCACAATGATTGATTTATTATGCTTTTCTTTTCAAGAAGCCTCGTTACACGGGATGTCGCACAACTACTGAATACAATATACATATATATACATCCATTTCTGTGATACACAATATACGCTCATGTGTGTACATACATAACTCAATGGTGTAAGGTTAAGTGTGAATAAAATTGATGTTTCACCAATCAGACACTTGTACTATGTCACACAATTTACAATTTATGTTTATGAGGTTGAATGTCACCGTAAATGAATACTTACTTGAATACGGTGCTCCATTCACAATGTAGATTATCCACAATATTAAAAATGTCTGCAGCTGCAGACTGCTCAAAAGTTTTCCCATTGTTAGATATCGTTTGCCTTCTTTAATCCTTCTTTCCACTCGTTTCTGTTCCTTCGGATGCCGTTCCTTTCACCACTTGAGAAAGTCTGCAAAGAGAGAGTAAAAAGGAAAAAGGATATTGAGTCAACATTGCATAATTTATAAGTACAACAAAAAAAAAAAATCAATGAAACTTTTTTAATTAATATACTGTGGAAGTCAACGCTGGGAGACGGAATAGCAAAATCACTTGAAAATGTGCATTAAAATTGAATCATCATCTTTCTTACCCCATTTATCTATATTCCATGGGTACAAAGGCAATGAATAAATATAGACCGATAATTGAAAGGATTTGTGTATATTAAATTTCATAATTATCTTAAATTATGCTTTATTGCCAATTTCGCATCAACTTGAACATACAATTAAGTGATGTAAGTTCTTGATCTCGATTTTTAAAGGATGTTTCTGGCGATACAAATAAATAATAACCTTAAAATTCTGTTAATAGATGCAATAGGATGCTTAACAATTCCTCAAAATAATAATAAAGCACATTTAAAGTTTTTAAGCTGTTAATTTTGCACATTGTTAAACTTTTACGATGAACTATCTTCTCAATTGTAGCATAATGCTTGAATTGTGAACAAAACCGCTTTAATTAACAGAACAAAAGGCGTTGAAGTTTCAATATATTTACATATGAACACCTTCTTATTTGCATTTCAATTAGAATGGAATAAGGAATAAATAATTTCAATGTGTGTGCATTTCGTTGAAGTGTTTGAAGGATGATGAGAGTATAATAAACTTTAAATTAGTTATTTTCTGTTAACAATGTTATGAAATAAAGCTGTTAATAGCTCAATAGTTTGAGAACAAGATTACTAGTTAAGTAATCAAAAGAAGTGTGGTTCGAATCCCATTTGAATAAAATCAGTAATTGAAGGGAGTCAAATTACTCTTTTTGTATTGTTTTTAAACCATTGTTCACTAAATGCGTTATTCAAATAGAAGCTGAATAAGTTTAAGTAAGTCATTAAATCAGACTCAAATGCCTTCTGTGTAATAATTCTGTCAAATTTCAAAAGATTAAAGACAGTTGAGATAAAAAGCAACTTCAATTTTTAATCTGGTCATAATCATCATTCAATCCAAAAATAGACTTTCAATCCGTTCTTTGACCTTTCCCCATCAACTTCACCTAAATATCTTAATCCAATTCACATAGTTTCTTATTAATATAAACTTATATCAACAAACTATGCTCGAAACTTTCAATAAACTTCAATAAACTTTTATTCAAATGTCTTAATTGGATTACGAGCCGAGAACTGGCAGAAGTAGGAGAAGAAATATTTCACTTTAGAATCCAATTAAAATTTTTCTTTTCCTCATTTTGTGAAATAAATATTTCAACAACTTTTCTTTTGATTCTGACTTGCAATTTTTTTTTTCATCATCCTATACAGCAAACATTACCACTTCTCAAACGACAAATTAAATGGCTCTTGGCTCGATAATAAATGTCTTCTTCTCGATACGAGGCAAAAGAAGAGGGAGAGTGGGAATGGATGCATATAAACATAGAAAATGCTCAGTATCTCATTCAGTAGAGTAGCATGCGACTGATGAATAATTTTCGTCACGAAACAGTGCATCTATTTGTTCATTTATTTAATCTTTGCGACGACATTTTTTTTGCGCTGACATTATACTGCATTATTGCTGATGCTTTTCTATTTTTTTCCTGTTCCTCTCTTCTTCCTTTTTCCAGTTCCTTTGTCGGTTTCGTCGTCGAGAATCATCGAGGAAGAAAAATTAAAGTCATTTATGATTTCCAATGGATGTAGATATCAAGCAATTTATCTATGGTAGTTTGAAAGAGTTCAATCGCATGACGACGAGCATCATAGAATAAAATAAAAATGATTGCGATTAATCAGATGCCGTTCCGTTGTCATACACACTTTTCATTTATATAAATATTTTATATATTGAATGTCGGGGCTTATAACTTGTTGTACTTATACATTTATCTGACAGTGATTTAACTGTGCTGATGGATGGTTGGGTCAGACCAGATCATAAGGCAATAGAGCAGATTTGTCGATATATACACCAACCTTATTATCTCTTAAAGGATTGTCTAATAGGCAGGAGTTGTTGTTATATAAGAAAAAAGCTTCTGTATCAGGTCTAACCCTATCTTTCCAAAAGATTAAATATGGATAGGTTGCATAAGGCCTATCAAAAAATTGATATAACAACGCTGGCTTAAAGTGATGCAATTTAAGTTCCACCTCACTGAAAACCGATATTTGTAGCTTCAAAACATGAACAGAGAAAATTGTCCAGCTTTTTTTTTTATCTAGTGTGCATTCATTCATCCCTTAAAAAAATGCTCTATATATGCGCCTCAAAATCAATTTTTGTGAGTTCGTGTGGAAAGATGTGAAAGGCAAACAAAATATATTTGTTTGAACAGTTGAGGACATAAATTGGGGTAAAGCAGGAGGAGGAGGAATACAGAGGACAATATGAATGTTGACATAAAAGGAACGAATTGAGCGAGAGAGATAGAAAAATAAAATTGTGAAAAAAATTCATACGAGAAAATAAGGAATAATGTCAATATTAAAAAAGGTGGATAAAGCATGATGTAATAAAAGCTTTTAATGTCCCGCATATTTTTTCCTATTTGCAGATAAAACAAGTGGAAGTGTCATCGTGGGTGGTAAGTTTTGACGATTTTTCATTCTGATTTATTGGTGTAAATAAACATTTCGCTTGAGGATAGGTTGACGGTGTTTTTAGAAATTAATTGTTTTGTAGACGAATTTTTGTTCACCTCGAATTGCTTTTCTGATTTAAATTTATATTAAATCTTTCATTCTGTGCTTTTTATACACCAAATAGATAAAAAAAAGTGGCAAGAATCGAACGCCATACATTTAAAAGACAAACTGATTACATAACCTCACTTTCTTATTCACCTTAATATCCAGAACGAAATCCATTTTTTATGAATTTTTTTTTTTTAAAAAATACTTCTTTTACATCGTCATATCTCCCGCCAGCTAGCTTCAGTAAGCACTAAAGATGTTGGAAATAAATTGAAATGAAATGTTAAATGCTAAAGCGTCCAGTAAGCATGTGAAAATTTAAAATCTCATGCAGCTTTTTGGAACGACTGAATTTTTATTTCTAGTGCAATTTAGCATCGTGGATGTGAAGTTTTGCTAGGTTTGACTGCTGACATTATGGTCGCTTGTCTGTGTAAAATTCTAATGAATTTAAAATTTAAAGGTTTTACAAAATCGCTGCAATGTTAAGAATGTGAGAATTACTCTAAGGGATTAAGGTGAATTGTCAAAATATGTCCTTTCAGCAACAGAATTACTGTAAAGGATTTAAAAGTCATTGAACTTTATGGCATACTTTAAATTGTACAATATTCCTTTAAATTCAAGAGATAGACGAGCAGAATGACGATAAAAATCAGAGAAATCAATAATTTCGACACAGAAACTCTTATTATCACACTTTGGCTACCTATCCATAAATTTTCACATCGTTCCATACAACAAAACTATAATTAAAAGCCTGAAACTTTTAATTACGTTCTCGACCAAACCATTGCAAACACTGGATGTATCTAATTAGACAACACAAACTAATGACTTTAGAAAAAGAAAGTCTGCTGAAATATTTACACGAAAGCCACAAATGAGTTTTAAAATTGAATCGACCACAGACATTTCAGTTTTCGTGATTAATTATTCAACCGAAAGCCATTAAAATGACAAAAGTTTGTTAATTAACTTCCACCATCCAGTCAAGTGGATACAAATTTTCAGTAAGGAGTAGACAGGTGACGACAATGCGGTTTAAAAATTTTCATCAGTAGATGCTCGAAGTCTGAACTTTTCCGGACCCTTTGCAAATAAATTACCGATTACAAAAATTGTCATCCAAGGTGACTTCTCAACTTGTTTTTCCGTACTTCCTTTCCCATTATGTAAAGAGACAAAGCACACAAAACTTGTGGAGACATGCTCATTACTGATATAAGCGCATTTCAAAGTTGTCAGTACAGAATTGAAAAATGGAACAACTGTCAAAAAATATTTGAAAAATAACGGTTGTTAAATATTTCAAAATAAACTGCTCTGAATATTTGAAAAGATAATTAACGGACAAAATAGACAGAATTAAAATCCAGGCAGTGTCATCATGTCCTCTTTGGAAAAACACACACACAAAAAAAATGAAAATACAGAAAAATGAGAAGAAAATTTATTTTCAAGTGGGCACATGAATAATTTTTCTCCATTCTTTTTCTTTCATTTATTTAAAAGTCCTCAACAGTGTAGTTTCATTTCCATTATTATTCCCTCACCATTCTTTTATTCTTTTATTTCTCTCCATCTCTGTCTCCCTTTCTCTCATCCAAATGTGTTTATTTCATGATGAAAAAACAATTTTACTCACGTTGTGAATTTAAAATGTGCCAAGTTGAATATGGAGTGAGTGAGAGCAGCAAAGAATAAAAATATAAAATTTTTCACCTCACTAGAATGGTTGAATGGTGCGGTTTTAGGTAGACATAAATGAGGATTAAGGTTCAATCCTTTTTTGTAAGATATATAAGTAATATAATTTTTATCCCGATAAATAAATTATGTGGAATAGTATCATTGTTGCTGTGTGAAGTAGCAAACAGCATAAAAAGTACCCATAAACGGTTTAATATGAAGGCGAAAAGCGGTGTAACTGAGTGAGGGGGGAATCTATAAATGACGTCTAAGTTCAAGTTAGTAAAAAACGGCACTAGACTGACGTTAGATTGGGTTAAAATCTTTTCAAAGCATTTTTAATGTCATGAGTCATCTAAAAAATTCATAATAAAATATGTATAGTCACCGACCACCCCCCCCCCCCCCCATGTCAAAAAACAAATTTTCCAATAGACGTCATTTATGAACGTCCCCTTAAAAGGAAAAGTGTGTAGAAAAATCCTCGAAAAACAATGGAATGTGAAGAACAAACAGCACCAGTTATGCAGAAGAAAGAAAGAAGGAGAAAAATATTGCTTGAACTA